ATTAAATGTAATTATATTTAATATATTGTAAACTATACTTATACTATATCTAGGTTTAAATAATATGTAATCACTAAACTAAATATTCATCATATGTTTTGTTACACTGTACACTATATATTAATATTGTAAATGGATTTATTCCGTAAATAAATAAATAAATAATAAAAAAAAGTTGAGAACATTGTTATAATATTTTCCAATATCTTGTTTGTCATTTTTTCATTCATCGCTTAACAAAATCTTAAGAATTAAAAATGTGTACTTCTGAATTTATATAGGTGGTATTGATGAAACTCTATTTATTTTAAAACCCATAGATCTATCTCTTAAATATTACCAAGTGTTGATTATTAATTTTATAATATTGTTAAAAAGTTGTTGATTTTATTTATATATTTATTCAGATTACGTAATTTGTTTTTTTAATACAAGTTTCTGTCATATTTGTTTGCATATAGATAGAATAAATTAAATAAATAAATTGAATAAATCAACAAAAAAAAATCTTAAGGTGGCCATGGGTGGTGACTACCCCATACAGTTAATGAACAATAACAACAACATTCAGATTAATACTTATAATTTCAATCCATAGTGCAGTTTGCACGATTTGAATCTAAATAACTAAACTTATAGATATTTATTTATTTTTACAATATATTTTGGTAGTAATAAAGTAATTTTAAAATACAAAATACTAAAAACCTACTCAAAAATAGAAATTGTTAAATGTTAATAGAACATTAATTTCTTTTGTCGCCTCCAAATTGTGAAGATAATATTGAATGTATTTATCTAGTTATTATTAGGTACAAGCTTAGGACACTACACATTGTAACAGGTTAAATTGTAGTTATGGCTAATTTATAGTGCTTAACTCTTAAACTTAAATATAATATAGTCTATATATAAACTTACTATACTATTTTGTATTGTCATTATGTATCCAACATAAATATTGTGAGCATTAATCCAATCCACTTCACCAAAAGCAACTAAAGCAACTATCAGATGCTGCACAATTATTTTCGGTATTTAAGTGTTTTGACCAACGAACTCATATTCAAACAAATCTAAATTAAAATGTGATTAATCTAAACAACAATTATAAATATTTAATTTAAATTACTTACCCTGGTAGTGTTTATTTTCATTTAGTAAGGATTAAGGAAATTCATTGCATCAATATAGCGGCTAAAAATATTATTCATTACTTCTCTGATATAAGATATTGATGATTATTACAGCATTCTATCCATCAAACAAACTGTAACAAAATAAATTAAATAAAAAGAATAAATTAGATAGGTACCTACTGGATATATTTATTTAGTAATTAGTTACCTAGGTGTGATTGCAATTTGCAGGTGTGACTGGTGTGAGTGCGAAAAATAACACTTATGATTAGTTATTTTATCACTGTCAACAAATTAATTTAATTATTTTTATCAAAAACACCCATCTAGGTTATAATAATTGGTTAGGCTAATAATTGGTAGGCATTTTATAGGTATGTACACATGTACAATATTTACTTAAAACCATATTATATATTAAGATCATTATTATAGTATACAATATTATGTACTTACACGTTTTGTTATGCAGCTCTCCAAACTATTAACTTAGGCACGTGATTACGTATAACAGTCGTGTAATTATTAACTTTTAAAACTTAAAATTATAATATACATGTAGGTATAAAGCCATATGGTGTGTAGCCGTGTAGGTCTCAAGTTCAGTATTTGATCCGAATATCTTGTATAATGGTGTATTAATATTAAATATTCATGTGACAATATTAGTGTAGTGTGTTGCAACTTGCAGCAGTGCATACTGCATAGTACATAACCATAGACGAGAATACTAACTGCCATAATTGAATTTCTGCAAAGTGCCTAGTACGCTACGCTCGCCGGTACCGCGGTCTGCGCCCTGTGTGGCTGTGTTAGTTGTTTTCTGTATTTTCATTTGTCACTCTATCTATGGGAATGGGTTGTGGCACGAGGAGTGAGGACTGAGGAGTGAGGACTGCGGTCGCGGCGAATTCACTGATAAACTGAACCGTTGGTAGTTAATACTTAATAGTTACATAGCACATAATTTGACGGAATTACCCCTCAGCCGTCAGGGTTTTTATTTTTATTCTATTTGACACTTTGGTCGGTACTGGTGGGTGGGCAATTCGGCAATAGACCGAAATAGTAAATACTAAATACTCAATATTGTGTTACTAAGTAATGAACTTCACGTTCGTTTTACAAAACAATATTCGTACGAACATTCTAATACAGTGGCGTACTTAGGAATTTGGTTTTGGGGGGGTCTATCCCGCTAACCACCCCCCCCCCTAATTCCGCCCCTGTTCTAATCTGTTGTAAATATTGATTTTTCATTTTCATTTTTACTCAAAAACGTCGTGATAAATCACCATGTAATTAATTAATATTTAATACTTCATAAATGTTATCTATTTACGAGCATATTCAGTTTAACGTTGTGTTGATTGAAAAAAGGAAATCTGCTACTACCTGATTCAAAATTTCTTTTATTCAATAATTCAAATAAGCTTCGTTGTTTAATTTAAATATTAAATTTATAAGTTTCTAACCAATATTATGCCTGGGACGCAATTAGTATTATACCTTTCTAGTTTCTATAGTTACATTTTTATTTGGGACGGTCGCCGGACGGAACTGGGAGTCGGAAAAAAAGCACAGTGATAAAAAGTCTGATTTAATTTTTTTCGGAAAAATCTACAGTAACTTCAGAAATATTATTTATCTACAGCCTTGGATAGTTGGATTACACCTCCTAGCTACAAATCAAAAATAATACAACAATAATATCAATAATACCTAGATGCGCTACCGTCGTCGTCTGTCTCAAGTCGTTATAGTAGGTTTTTCCGATTTCGGAAGTCAGGAAATCAATCTTTGTAAGTAGGTAATTGGTAATTAGACAAAAAAATCAAGTTTAAAAAAAAAAATAAATGTTGTAACTCTTCTGACTTAAGACTCGGTTGACCGCTTTCAAAAATTGCAGGGGCAGCCCAGGCACCCTAAGCTGCCACCGTAGACACGCCTATGGTATAATAATTAATATTAATAATAAGTTTTTTTATCAAATATACTCCTATACTCCGATTCTGCAAATGTGGGCAAAAATTAACTTTAGTTAAGTTGTGAATTAAAAAGTGTGTTCAATTTGTAATCCCATAGTTTATCGGTAGATAGCATTTTTAATGTCCAATGTATTAAATTGTTTTAAATTGAATACTTAATTAAAGTATCATCATTAAAAACCAATAAAAATACACATTTATTTAAAAAATCAACGTTTTTTTTATCATAACTTTCTCACATAAATACATAATATGAATAAATCAAATAGTTAAAATACATTCAACCAACTCACATGAAGTGCAATTTCTTCATCTCACCCTCTCTGATGAGGTATATTCTATATAAGTTTATTTGAATATTATTCCAAATTTGTAGCGCGTGTAAGTAATATTCAAAAATTACTTGTATGTTCTGCCACTGTGTTTGACATAATTTTTGTAAAAGGGCTGGCTTTCTGGCTACCCACTTTCCAAAATAGTAAGTAAAAAAATGTAGGAAGTTACTACATTGATGATACTTAGTATAAGGTCCAGTGGCGCAAATAGGAAAAAAATGTTGGGGGCTCAAGCCCCAAAACATTTTTTTTTTAATTACAATTTATAGGTACATACTTTTATGAATGGTATACTATTATTTTTTGGGCTTTGAGTGATTTTTTTTTTTTGGGGGGGGGGGCTAAGCCCCCCCACCTATTTGCGCCACTTATATTCTATTTATTCTATTGTACTGCATTATGTGTAGTTACGTGGTTAGATCTTAGGTGTCAATAATATAAGCTTAAAAAAAATCAAAAAATCGCTCAAGTACACTTACAACCCTTATTATAACTATCACATTACAACTATTCAATTATTTTTCAACAATTAACTCAATGAAAAACATTAAAACAATGAAACCACACAATGACTTTTTATTTTAAATATAGTCTTAAAATAAAATATATTATGGCATTTAAAACCAAAATATTCAAAATAAACGCCAAAAAAAAACCAGTGAGTAGGTATTTGATCCCAAATATTGTGAATTGTATTTTGTTACTCACATTATGACAACATTAACCAGATAAAATATGTAAATGCATGAAATTCCTTATAGTATAAAATATTTAACTAAAACCAAATAATTATAAATTTATAAAAAGTTTTCTTTATTAATAACAATAAAATTATTCATCTATAATAATAATAGATATATTAATAATTTTAATAGGTATAGGGGGCTATATGGCAGTATACCCGCGTATCTTCGTTAACCTTCGAGCGGGCGCGCATTTTGCAATTACACACGCGGGCGCGCAACGGTATTAACACCGCACAATTTAGAGCCTCATTTGAATTTATGTTTATGTGAATCTTATAGTTTTTTCAATAGACAATATTAATCCGTACTTTAATTTAGAATAAAAAATAACTGAATGTGGTGAAAATGATGTTGAAGAAACACAACTATTGACTAATATGCAAAGAATATTAAAATAATATAAACATGTAGCTATATTAAAAAAACTTATATATTTATAAACAAATAATGTTGAAACCAGTCTTTTAGTTTCTATGACATCCTCTTTTAACACAATAAATTTTTATAAACATCCTTTTTATATATTTTTGAGTTAATCTAACAATAACTTACTAAAACTTTATAATATATTGACAAATTATTATACCAACATAAATAAACAAATGATACAATAACAACCTTATTAGACTTTCATATAACATAAGTAGATACAAAACAGTATTACAAAATAAGTGTTTTTGAGAAATAGACTTTAAATGTATGACTTAATTTTTTAAATATCACTTTTATGTGAACAACTAAAATAAGAAATTTTTGTTATGAAAAAATACGAATGAGAAAAAAATAAATTAGTTATACGTCCTCAAAATATTCTTGGTCGTCACTTTCGGGTTGCACACACGAGTTACATTGAACAGTTTTGGTTGAATGATTTTTACAAACGTGATTACCACATTGACAGCAGGTTGTCGACGTTCTGTTATTTTTTCGTTTACCACACAAAACGCAAGCTCGACTTTGTGATGGAGGATTAGGTTCTGCAGGCTGTTTGTATTTTTCCAAAAATACCTTGATTTCTTTAGGAAGGCTTGCAATTGTGGCTCGATAATTCAGATTTTCCCTCATTAGGCTGAGCGCTAGGTTGAATGTGTATATTCTTCGGACAATAGTGGAGTCTGGATTATTGGCTTTAAAAATTTTGTAGGAATTGATTGCTGCTAAATCTAGAAGGCGGAAAAATACTACCATTGGCCACCTACGAGTATTTCTCGACGTGGAACATCTGGCACACATCAAATCTACCGTGTCTACTCCACCTTTAGTAGCGTTGTAATCCATTATTTGGTTTGGTTTACCTGTGCCTTCATCAGTGACATTATCACCGTGCATTGAAGACAGTACAAGCACAACTTTTTTTTTTTCGTCACCATAGATACTAGCGTCATGTCTGGTTGGGCACCGAATTGATGTGTACCAGGTTTCAAATTTTTATGCTGAACAATAAATTCGGGAGGTATTTCTTTTTTGTTTTTTTTTAGGGTGCCCATAAAAGTTAATCCATTTTTTAGTAAGTTTTCAGCTAATGGATAACTACTAAACCAGTTGTCGGTTGTAACGTTTCGCTTTGATTTTTGAATAGGTTCAGTTAGTCTGGTAACTATGTCATAGGGCTTGTTCGATGTCGCAAAAGGACCCGTGTCTTGCTTTCCACAATAAATTTCCAAATTATACGTATAAAACGTTCGTGCATCGCACAGTGCATACATCTTTAGTCCATATTTCGCTGGTTTTTTGTCCATTTATTGAATGAATCCACAGCGGCCTCGGAAAGCGACCAACATTTCATCAATAGTGGTGAATTCGCCGGGAGAATATGACTGTTGGGAGTTAATTACAAAGCAATTTAATAGGTCTCGTATAGGGGCCAATTTATCATTTTTTACCCTATCTGTCCTTGTACTTATATCATCGAAACGTATGCACCTCATAAGAAATCTGAAACGCCTCTCACTGAAATTGGCACGTAAAAGCATAAGATCGGTTCCATTTGAGGTAAACAATTCACTCAAATTTGTTCTATTAGCCCTCTTTACAGCAATCAAAAATAAGGCCCCGAAAAAAGCTTGTATTTCTTTTTGATTTGTCAATCTAAAATCACGGTCCCTACTATTAGGGTTTGCAAGTTTTCTCCATTGAATGTAAGTATTTGTGTGTGAAACTATTTTATCGACTATATCCGGAGAAAAAAATTGTGAAAAACATTCGATTTCTGTTTTACACTGACGAGCAGCTCCTTTTGGGCCGGGAAAAATCTTGATGATATTTTTTGATTTCGTTTTTGAAATGCTTGCTACTGGTTCGTTAGCCCACAAAGTCTCACCATCTTTACCAATAAAAAAACGAAAATTCTCACCTATATTTTCTTCAATTTCATCTGTAGTGGACGGTGAATCTAATTCCTCTTCAGAATCACTGTTATGATCCGAGTCTTCAATTACCTCTGGCTCGAAATCAGGATCATCATCATGATCTGAGCCATAGTCATCAAGTACATCATATTCATTATCCTCATCTTCCAACTCTTGAATAATCCTTTCAATGTCTTCTGGTCTGTTATAGTATTCATTACGCTGTCGATGATACCTGTTAGGTACAAACAATAAACATAACAATACATAATAATGTACCTATAATAATAATATAATATATAAAATAATATAATATTATTATTATTATATTATTATTTTTTTATTATTATTTTATTTTATATAATATATAAATATTAAATATATATATTATACCCATAATAATGTACCTACATAATAATAATAATAATAAAAATAATCATCATAATAAAATTATAAAATAACACTTACATATCGATGTCAGGCGCAGGTTGAAATAGAAACAGCAATAGGCGCACAACGGTATTTACACCGCAGTTACATATGCACTGGAAGTAATCGTGTTTGAAACTAAATAACAGCGCACCAGGAAACGCTAAAATTATAACAACTGCCTTATCTTATGACTAGATAAGAAATTAGAGATTACCTAATGGATAGGTTCGCTGCATGAAACTTATAACGAATGGGCGCGATTATTTTCAAATGTGCGGTGTAAAAACCGTCCGCGCGCCCGCTCGAAGGTTAATTAAGAGAGTATAAGCTAAAAAAAAATGTAGAGAAGTAAGTATCCGCCGTGGCCGTATACCCCCTAATACACCACTGAAGTTATAGAAAAGTCAAGGGAAATGCTTATTGGAATATTGTGTCAACCTTGATGTATTAAAAAAAAACTAAATGTATCCATCTGGAAAGTGAAAACCTATATATATTAATACTTGACAGTTCAATAATAATACATGTATATATAGTAAAGTGACTGAGACAAGTCCCATTAAGTAATATTAATGATGATGGGGTTGTGTTTAAAATAAGGAAACATTTTAGATTCAAATGTAAAATATATATCATGGAGTACAAATAATTTATAATTTATAAATAAATTATTAAAAAAAATCATTAGGCTCAACATTTATTATTTAGGTACCTATATCATATTATATTATGACCTAAATTTCTAAACTATCTTCATATAAACGAGAAAACATAGACTAAAATGTATGTTATTAGATATATAAATCATTCATTATTTTGTTATCTTTAAGCAACTTATACATTTTATACTTACTAATGTAAAACTTTGTCATAAATGAACCTAATTTTTCTTTGATGATATTATTTAATTATTGTAGGTATAGTAGGTATTACAACTATTACTATACATAAATATTATAAGACATGTCATGTAAAATCACCATAATATGTCATGAGATACAGTCAACTACAGTGTGAATATTACATTAAATGGTTATTTTAAAAAATAAAACAATATTATAAATTATAAAGCTGCTGCATAATAGGTTTGAAATGAATTACATTATACATCTGTTTAGCATATTATACCTGGTATATATGGAAAAATGATTTCTGATTGTTGAATGTTAACGATTTGTTGTTAAGTTTTTAAGTTTCTTACACACTTTATTAATTGATCTTTTTGTATCATAATATATTAGTTTATTTAAGGTTCATAAATTCTAAATCATACACCTTATAATTACCAACTACTGTGTTTATTGACATTGTTTTTTTTTTTATTCAGTGTTAGTGTTTTGCAATGTACAGTACGTACCTACCATTGTACCATTATGGGTATTGGGTGCATGATAACTCTTTATTATAACTAATAACTTATACTCAATTTAAACATTTTACTGCTTTTTTGTTTTAGGTAAGCTCTAATAACTAAGGAAATGGGTTTTGTACGAAAATAAATAAAAACAATAGAACATTTTTTTTTTAAAGAGTTTATTTTACAACTTAAGTTGCCACCGTCCACCGTCTCGCCACCGTCCACCGACTCACCACCGGCCTCCAACTCTTCACCGCCACCAGCCACGGGCTCTCCATCAACCACATCCGGCCGAGAAGTGGCCGCTTCTGCAATGGCCATCATAGAAACTAAAATATCATAAAATTAATTAATTTGGAATTTTAAAAAAACGTATATTAAATGCAGTGTTGAAAACTTTAAACTTACTCAACTTTGGGCAGGCTAATACTTTATGCCCCTTTACGTGGCACAGGTCACATTCTAAAAAAAAATTATAGTCAATAAACAATATTTTATTTATGATTTACTTATATTTGATACTTACTCCCACTAAACTTCTTGGTGGAGGGTGCCCCACTGCTGGCACCTCCCAGTCTGCGGTCACCACCACGGCCGCGGTCGCCACCTTCACCGCCTTTTCCACCTCGCCCTCCTTTGCCGTTTCGCCCGCCTTTGCCGCCACCGTATATTATAATATTACCGTACATCTTTAAGAAAAACATATTAATATTGATAATTATTATTTATCTATTGAAAAATCTAAATACTAATGCCGATTGAGTTCCATGAAATATGTATTAATTTATGGGCCGCTAAATCAAGTTTAAAAGGGACCGTTTGCTCACTATTCACTCGTTAAATGTTTAGTGATTGTGAATATATTAAATCCGGCATAAGTAATACATATCTAAAAAACTAATCTCCGTACTTAAATACTGAATTAGGTCCTGTTAGATAAAATTAAGAGAATATCAGGGAATATTTGTTTCGTGTTAGGCCCCCGCGTAACATAGACAAAACGCATCTACACAGAATCATGTTTTCTATGTTTATGAGTACAGTCAACTATTACAAAAAATATGGAAATTAACACTTTAGAGGGTTTCCACATAAATTTTATATTTTATTATAATACTTACATAGTAAAAAAATAATTGTAATATTTAAATTGTTTTGAGACATTATGTCATATATTCAAAAATATTATTATAATAAATTGTTGTAATGGCTGATTTCACTTTATGATTAAATAGGTTATAGGTTTCGGTTAAGTAAGAAAACATTGTAGATTTTAAAATATTATGTAAAATTCATAATACCTATCATGCGTTGTACGATTAATTTTAGTCTATAATGATGTATCTATATAGTTTATCCATAGTAAAATTGTAGGTATTTATTTTATATATCTTGTTAACTATTAAGTATAATAATAAAATATTTATTTCTATTATTGTATGTATTCGGTGTCAAATTTTTTTTTTTTAAACTTGAATTTTATAATATTAGGTATCTATCTTTAAATTGTAACAAAACGTAATTAATTTGATTTAATTTACTTAAAATGGAAAATAAAAAGAGTAATTACCTTTTTAAAAATAACGAGCACTTAATCTTATAAAATTAGATGTATAAAAAAAAAATTAAAATACTCACGAGTAGTATATAAATGGGGGTTCTGACCGCTGCACCGCTGCACTCCACTCCCTCCACTCCCTCCACTCCCTCCACTCCCTCCACACCCTCGCTTATCGGCCACGTGCGCGAGGTATATTTTGGCCTTATCAGTAACCACTTCTTACCACTGATAACAGTTATCGGCCACGTGCGCGAAGTATAATATGTTGGCCTTATCAGTAACCTAATCAGTAACCACTTCTTACCACTGATAACGATTGTTGGGCACGTGCGTGACGTATACCTAATAGTGATAACGATTATCAACAACCGTCAAATTATCAGCAGCTGTCACCGCCACCAGAAATATCTACAACATAACGTAATTATTAGTACGGTGTAGGTTTTTCAAAATGTCGAAATTCACGAAATAAACGTATATTGTTAAATATCAGAAATATATACCGTATACCACTATTGTTACTACGGTGTAGGTATTTTTAAAAATGTCGAAATTCACGAAATAAACGTAAATCGCAAAATATCAGAAATATCTACAACATAACGTAATTATTAGTACAGTGTAGATTATT